GAGGAGGCTGGTGTCTGCCTGGATTCATCTAGTGACAGTGGACAGGTTTCTCTTATATGTATGTTGGCCTCAGCTTCCTGGCATCCAGGCATAGCTGTGTCTCTTTAAATGAGTAAAGAAAACCAATGTTCTGAAGTTCAAAAGGGCCTTGTTTTTCCCTAAACAAAAAAGCAACAAACTCACTGCCCTCAAGTCAGGTCGACTTATAGTGACCCCTCCTTGGGTTTCTGAGGCAGTATCTCTACTGAAGTAGATTGCCCAGTCCGCCTTCTGAGGAGTTGCTGGTGGGTTTGAACCACCAGCCTTCCAGTTAGCAGTCAAATGCCTTAGACTCCTGGTAATAAACGTCCCAGGAGCTTACACAGGCAATCAAAGAGTCAACCTGTTACCATCTTCTTGTCTCTGCTCCGAGAAACCAACTGAGGGAAAATACCAGAGACCGTCAGTGCACTGGAGGAGGCTTCATTTTTGGGGGGAGATTGAATTTCCAGACCACCATGGTGTTTTCAAATCCTGCCCTGGGCTCACTCTCTCTTTGACTGGCTTCTCCTCCTAAAACCTCTTCCCTCGATACTGTTCAGGGGGGGATTCTGCTCCAGCTGCTGGCAGCTGTGGTGCTCAGGGAACAATGCAGCTGGCTGTGGTGGGGCCTGCTGTACCCTGAAAGCTTCAGTCCCCTGGGCAGTGTTCATCCATGCAGACGCCTGGGCCCGGCCCCCAGAAAATTCAGATCCAGTGTTTGGGGGCAAGGTCTGGGCTTGTGCACTTCAGCAGTCTTCCCTGGTGACTTGAATATAAACCAGACTTGGAAAAACCCACCCAAGGCCATGCGTTGTCCCTGGACAGCAGGACTGAGCCCAGAAGACAGTGACCTGGGGAGACTTCTTGAGTTTACTCAGAATGCCAGCACTGAGTGCCTGTCAGGCAGGCCCTGTCTGGGGCTCTGGGGGTACACAGGTGTTGGGGAATTAATGCGGCAGTAGGGAGGCCTTGTCCTCGGAGTGGGGGGCTGTACACTCGAGGTAGAGTTCAGGTAAAAGGCCTTGGACCCTATCTACACCACACATACATACTACACTCTCTCTCACACACATACCACACACATGCCTACACCACACCCCCCCACACATGTGCATCACACCATGCACATACGTACCACATGGAGTCCCAGAATCACTTCACCTAGGAAAGGGGGCGCTGGTGTCTATCAGAGTCACCTGTGAGCTCAGATATGGTGGCCAAAGGACAACATGGTGATCATCCTCAGAAACCACTGGAAGCCAACAGCACACACCTACTGCTGCTTGCCGTCATGTCTTGTGGCCTCTGGCCTTCACAGCCATCAGGGTGCCTGCCTGTCTCCTTCTTTCTGAGGTGTGAGATAGGTACAGAGAAGAGCACTAAGGTATTGGGTGTAATGGGGTTTTATTGATATGAATGCATCAGCGTAACTATACCCAGATCAAAGAGGGGTGCATTCTTCAGGAAGGGGAGACCTCAGCGGGTGGAAAACCTGCCTGTTCACATTTTTTTTTTATAACTAAGTATAGGCATATTTTTTATTAAAACAACATATATTTCTGCTTAAAAACTGTACAAAAATTTCATAGACAGTCATTTTGATGTCACCTCCTCTTACAGTGCCAGTTGGTATGACCCACACTCCATTTATCCCCCTAGTGATGCCACTGTATGTGTTTTTAAAATATATGTTCTTTTTTTTTTTTTTTTTTTTTTT